AAAGCATCATTAAAACAAAAAGAGAAGTCACTTACAAAAGATTGAATAAACACTAAAAAGTCTGACCAAAATTTTTCTGTGTAGGAGCATTGCCAAAACAAATGAATGAAGTCTTCTTCAGAAGAATGACAAAAACAGCAACTCACTTCAATGTCTGACTTATATTTCCTAAGAAAGACTTTAGTTGGGTAACATTTGTGAATCAACTTAAATGTTATTTCTTTTACTTTATTGGTAAGCAGATATCTATGAGGCAAGGTCCATACTTTCTCCCAAGGTATATTCTCCACAATGCTATTCCAATAAGGTATTATGTAAGGAATTGTTGTTATCTCTCTCTGAAAAAGAGCTCTAATTTTATAGTTAGTTTTTTGTTGATCTGTAGAAAAGCAAACACTTCCAATCATTGTGTCAGTTAAATTCAGAGTGTAAGTACATGGCCATGGAAGTGTAGTACCTTGCAACAGAAAAGACACACCAGAGGGAATGGCATTGAAAACAACAGCATATTCATCAGCAGATACAGGAATATTATATTTCTGTAAGAAATCAGAGTAGTTGTAAAGTCTGCCTTGTGAATTAAAAAGCTGCCCAACTAAAAGCAGATTGTTTTCGAACCAGTTGTCAAAGAAAAGTGATTTATTCTTGTAAAGAATATCCTTATTGTTCCATAAATAATATCTGTGCGGAGAAAAGTTGTGTTTGTATATTAAGGACCAGGCCAAGAGCATCTGCTTATGGAAATTAGAAAGTTTGATAGGGATTTTTAAAACATTATAATTAGAAAGTAATAGGAAATTCAGGCCACCAACTTTAGAGACAATATAATTTGGGATAAAATTCCAAAGTGAGGAGGGATTTTTAAGGAAATTCTTAAGCCAATTCATTTTAAAAGTATTATTTAAGGTAGTAACATCTACAAAATCCAGTCCCCCCTGTTTTGTTGGGTTAATTATTACAGATTTCCTAATATAGTGAGTTTTATTTTTCCAAACAAAATTGTTTAACATGCTATCAATTCTTTTTAATGTTCCTTTGTCAACCTCCAAGGAAAGAGCAGCATAAGTCAGTCGAGACAATCCTTCGGCTTTAGAGAGTAAAATTCTTCCTCTCATTGATAAATCTCACTGCAACATCTTGCTTTTTATTAATTAAAATTCCTAAGTATATAACTTGATCTTTCACAGGAATGTTACATACAGAATACAGATCACAGCTTTTGATTGACATTAACTCACATTTGTTGATATTCAGGCAGAGACCTGAAGCTCTGGAAAAGGACTCAATCAAACTCAAAGCTAAAGGGATTTGGGAGGCGTCATTCAGAAATAAAGTAGTATCGTCAGCCAGCTGGCTAATGATAATTTGTCTATCGTCAATTGTGATACCTTGTAAATTATTAGTGGAAATATGTTTGTCTATCGTAAATTATTAGTGGAAATATGCAGAGCTAAGAACTGAGAGGCAAGTAAGAATAAATATGATAAATATGGACAGCCTTGTCTTACTCCACGTGACAAATCGAATCTTGGTGAGGTTCCGAATTTTAACTTAATAACACTATTATTATTTCTGTATAAGGTCCCGATGGCTTTACAGAAATAATCTCCAAACCAAAATATGTCAAAAGCTTGAAATATGAACTTGTGCTCAAGCGAATCAAAGGCTTTGTAGAAGTCTAGGAAAAGCAGGAAACTGTCATTAGGAAAGAGATCCTCGTAATCTAGAAGATCTAAGACTAATCTTATATTATTCGTAATGTGACGTTTTCCCATAAAACCTGATTGTGATTCATCAATAATAGAGTTAAGGACATCTTTAATTCTTCTTGCTAAAACTAAAGCTAAAATTTTGTAATCATTATTTAAGAGGGTGATTGGCCTCCAGTTTTCTAGACACTCTTTATCTTTGTTGGGTTTGGGTATCAGGGTGATGACTCCTTGTGTCATGGTTGGTGGAAGTGCTTCCAACTCAAGGCTTTCTTCGAACACTTTTAATAAGAAAGGAGATACATTTTTGTCAAACATCTTATACAGCTCAGCGGTTAGACCATCACTGCCCGGACTTTTATTATTTTTTAAACTCTTAATTGCCTGTAGAATTTCTGATTGAGAGATATCGCCGTCACAAGCTTCTTTATCTTCTAATGAAATAACTTTATTTTGATTGACAGAGTCAAAAAACGAGTTGGCTGAATTATCACAATATCTTGATGTATATAAGTTATTATAGAATTTGGAACAATAAGCAGCTATTTCTTTAGGATTATCAAGAACTCTATCATTTGTTCGGAGATGATCAATAGAAACATTCATAGCATTGGATCTTTCCAACCTAAAGAAATAGGCTGAGTTCTGTTC